TTGAGGCTGACAACTTAGCGGACATTAGCTGACAACTTTCCGTGCCCCTGTGACAAAATACTTTTCTTCACCTTTACTCACGACTTTAGCCTTTTTATTTAGGACATCATTCCAAACTTTTTTATTTAATTTTTTATCTAACTTTTATACAATAGAAATGTTTTATTTTTACAACATGATCTTCTGTTCATTTTTTTTTCTTTTTGTAAATTATGAACCTTTGAAATATTAATTTTTATACAATTTACCGTTTATACAATTGAATGAGACAAAAACTAAAAACAAAATTGTTTTATGTTTCTGTCATGTTCTCTCTAAAATAGAATAGATTAGAAAATAGGATTCATCACTGAGCACCCTATCATTTAAAGAGAGAGAGTCCAGCAGGCTTTTAACTCATATATAAGTCCACTGTCTCCTAAACCCGATTTCTTTTCAACTCATATATGAGTCCAAGAAAAAGACAAACAAAATTATAAGACCGGCAAAAAGGGAATTCCTCAAAAAAAGATTACAAACCATTGAGATCAACTGGCAGGCTGGATAAATATGTGAATTCTATGCAGCCATTAGGAAAGAAAGGGTAGGATATAAAATGAGAAATATGCAAATGCAAGGAAAATATGGCATTCTGATGGCATCTAAAGAAAAGATATTGAACATCTGGAAAGAACATTTCCAGGAACTTCTCAATCAAGGGGACTCCACGAACGAAGAAGACATGGACCACATTGAGGATCTTAACCCAGAAGAGGTTGAAAAACCAGATATACTGGATGTAGAAATAGCTATCAAAAGGCTTAAAACAAGAAAGGCCCCATGGATAGACAACCTACCATCAGGATTGTTTAAGGATGGAGAAGACAACTTAAGGGCCAAGCTACTACAACTAATCCAGAAAGTATGGGAAGAGGAAAGTATATCTGAGGCTTGGAATATGGGCCTAATCGATCCTATCCTAAAGAAAGGCTCCATGTATGAGTGTGCTAATTACAGAGGTATAGCAATCCTTCTGGTTGCCTACAAGATAATGATATAGATCCTACTAAACCGGATATATCTGTATTACGAAAATATAATAGGCGACCACCAAGCTGGCTGGATTCAAAAAAGGAAGGAGCACACTAAACCAGATCTTCATCCTAAAACAAGTACTCGAAAAACGAAGGGAAATAGCTCAGGACATCCACACCCTATTTGTCATTTTCAAAACCGCCTATGATTCTGTGGACAGGAACTGTCTTTGGAAAATCATGATTGAACTGGGAGTTCCTGGTAAGTTGGTGAGATTGACAAGGGTGTAAGAAGAACTCCAGAGGAAGCGAATAGATATAAACCCTAAAAAAGTAAGGTGATGCTCATCAGCCGAGGTGTGGAAGACCAAGTTCTCATAAAATGTAATAATGAGCCATTAGAAAATGTAGATAACTACCAGTACTTGGCACGATTTTCAGCAGAGATGGAAGGATTGACCAGGAGGTTTTAAATTGAGTCAAGAAGGCCAATGGTGTGTTTTACTCTATCTCCACTACAATATTAGGGATACAGGAGGTAAAGAAGAAAACAACAATAGCTTTGTTTAAAACAGTATTTCTGCCCATCCTTTTGTATGGTGCAGAGAGTTGGAGGGTCCTCGAAAAACATGCAAGTAAAGTAACAGCCATTGAAATGATATACCTCAGGAGAGTTCTTGGAAAAACAAAAAGATACAGCTGAATGAACGAGAGGATAAGAGAGGAAATGAATATAAGGCCTGTAAAACAAGTTATGGAGGAGTGCCAACTGAAGTGGTTTGGCCATTTGTACCAGATGGGTGATGGACAAAAGGCAAAATGGTTCCTAGAAGCAAAACCAGTGGGTAAGCGACCTAGAGGTAGGCCCAGGCTATTGTATTGTGACTACATGGAGAGGTAGCACCATGGTGGATATGAGAAGACGGGCCAGTGACAGAGATCAGTGGACGAGATGGGCCGAGGCTGCTCCTCCACGCTGAAGAAGAAGTATTGATATGATTTTTTTATTAACTTTAAGTACATTTTACACGTTCCTGAAATTCAAAAAACGTTTTAAAGCTATATAAATCTAATATTTTTATAAGTCTTGAATTTGTAATGAACGTTTTAATGTTCTGGTTTAGGCTGAGAAGCAGCGTAAATCACAGAGTCCTTCATTAGGTGGCCATAATTGGGAAGATGAAAAACAGGAAGGAAGTTTTGAGGATGAAGGCATTGACGATGAAGAAGCTAATTCAGGCGATGAACCTAATGATGGGTAAACAATTATTTAAATTTTCCTTTACCTCAAATTTGAAATTTTTTTCGACATTCATCAATGAAAACCATGAATATGCACAGATATCTTGTTTTTATCATAATCATTTTAGTTTTACCATAAAATTGTAAAAAATGAATTTGTTTTAGATCAATGAGAGATGATGGGTCAGGAACAAAAGTGAGACTGGATGATAGTGAGGATTATGATGAAGAAAATGACCAGCAGGGTAAGAGATTGTGAAATATTTGTTTTCAATTTTACTCTGGATTTTTTTTCGTTTTTTAAAGTAAATCTATAATTTAAAAACAGGCTACAAATACTGTTAAGATTTCAGATAAACTTTCATTTTGGTAAGTATACCATTACCAGCACTGATCAACCTTTGAAAAATGATTGTTAATATTTCCAGTTCTTTATTGAAATTTTGTTACAATTAAAAGAAAGAAAAATATTTTTCCTCAATGAAAATTATGTTTCTTCCATTAGTTAGTATACGTTAATTTGATGATAAATTTAAAAAAAGTATCAGTTAAGTAAATCACATAAAATAATAACATTTCCAAAAAAATGTTTGGAACATTTTATAAGTGCTAAAATATTTTTTTCTACAAAATAGTTAATTAAATAATGTGAAGAGGTGGAAGTAATCCACAAAAAAATTCTAAAACAATTACTATAGGAATTGGAATCTTTAGAACCTTGAAATATTGAATTATTTCAATAATGTAATTTTTTTTATTTTCATAAAATCAGAGAAGTCCTTTTTCTCTCCTTATGTTTATTAAACTTCATATGTAATATATATGTATGTATGTGTATATATATATATATATGTATGTATGTGTATATAAGTTAAGCGTCGTCGGACTTCAAAAATAAAAAAAAAGAAAGAAAGGGATAGAGATGCAACACTCACGGCTTCTGAATAAACACTGCTTTATTCGATCAGTAATTCTCCTTATATACATTTAGCATGTTTGTTTACATTGCCAGATGGTATTAAGGCTGATATCGCCAGTCTCCGGTCTTTATCTCCCCCCCACCAGTTTACGAACAGGCTTTTCGGAAACTTAAATAATCCTAGATCGGAGCCAACGGTGACCAGCCTTGACACTTTACAATTGTTCTTACAGTATACCCTTAAAAGATACTAAAACTCACTTCCACTCAGCTGGAACGAAAAAAAAAATAAAAAAAAACACAGAAACTAAACACAACACTTGATTCCAAGAACAGAACTCTTAATAACCTACACAAAAAAAAAAAAATAATACAATTTCCTCTACAGTATTGCTATAATTCTATTTATATGAAATAAAAAAAATTACACTATTTTTATGTTTTGACAGGCAAAAAAAAAACATATTTCTTATATACAGCGGTGAGGGTACTACGAATCCGTTGGTCTATGCTCCGGTTCTATCATTGGGAGCTTTAATTGTTCGATGTGAACAGTTCTCCTCTTTCTGGGCTCATTAACGCTTTCGATAGTTAGCAGATTATGCTCCCTAATAGCAACCACTCTGAATGGACCCTCGTACCGTAGCAATTGTTTCCCTCTGTTGGTTCCCGATCTCCGATACACTATTGTTCCGATCTTTAGTTCCCCCATTTGCTCGCGTACCTGCACATTCTGCCTCTCCACCCGCTTCTTCTTTTCACGCTTAATTCTCGCCGTTACCTTTCCCCATGTTTTCTCTACCTCTACCCTATTGCTCTGAATTTGCTCTACTAACGGTTCAGTAATCGTAGTTTCCCCATAATCCCGCCTTGGCCTGCGCATCCCGAATAGAACTTCTATGGGTGAAAATCCTGTTACGGAGTGGATCGAGTGGTTATAGGCTGTTATCGCCTTCCTCATCGCCACATCCGGCTCCAACCCTTTTTCTCCCTGATATACACGGATGTGGTCGCTTAGTGTGCTGTGCAACCATTCGATACCGCCTCTACTTTTAGGATTTCCTGGGGTGTTATAATGCCACGCAATCTCCAATCGCTTCACCTCCTCCCTAATCGCGGCATTGTCGAACTCCCTACCACCGTCCGATGTAATCCTCTCGGGAACCCCATAGAACTGCACCCAGGTTTGTAGGGCTTCCGCAACTGCATTGGCTGACTTATCCATGACCTGATGTGCCATCGCCACTTTGCTGAATATGTCGATTACAGTGACCCACTTGAACCCTTTCCAGGTGAATGTATCAATCTGGAGGTCCTGTAGCGGCATATTCCCTGTAGGTGTCTCCTCCTGAACTCCTCTGGGGGGGGGGGTGTCGATCGTATTTTGTGCGCATGCATATCTCACATTTCCCAATGATTTCCTGGATGGATCTCTTCATGCCCCACCAGAAATACTTTCGACGTAATGCCTGCAACGTCTCGTTCACGCCTCGGTGATTGGTTTTCCCCTGGTGATATGCCAATGTGACTGCTTGCTGCTGCTCTTCGTCTTGTATCGTCTCTACCGCATACTTGCACCGGATGAATGTCCTGTCCACACCTATTCGCTCGGACCTCCACATTCGCTTTATCTTATCCCATACTGTATTGTTTCCAACGTATAGATAGTGCGTTTTACCCGCTTCCGAGGCGTCCCTCAGTGCCGTACAGATTTGTTCTTCGCTTACCCCGGGTTGCGACCAAATGACGCGGATCCTACTCCTCCCATATCTTCTGAAATCAATTTTCAGGATTCCGGCTGTTTGTGTCTTCCAGATCACCTGACGATGTTTGTCGTTAACGATCTCATTTATTTCGTCTATCTCCGCTGCCCTTTCCTCCGCTGAGCTCTCCTCTTCTGGGGACTCTCCCCTGTCCTCTATACCTGCGGTATCATTTGCCCCTTCGCCATCAGGAGTCCATTCACTCAAGAATTGACGCACGTCCCGCGATGGTCCTCCCCTGTCCTCTTCAACCGCGTTGATCATGATGGCCCTAGAGAGCCAGTCTGCCACCACGTTTTCCTTTCCCGGCTTATACACCACCTCTATGTTGTATTGGCTAAGGACCTCCTTCCATCTCGTGACCCTAGCTGAGGTTTCCTTGAGTTTTCCTACCCACTGAAGGGGTTCCCCCTCACTGCTTCCCTGAGACAAAACGGCCCCTAACGCATATTCGCTCGCGTCGGTGGTTATGTTGAATTGCTTTTCAAAATCCGGGAACGCCAATACAGGCTCTGCCTGCAACCTACTCATGCATTTCCGGATATTGTTCTCCATTTCCGGTGTCACCGCAATCTTCGCGCCTTTCTTCAGCAAATTGTTGATAGGTACCAAATACTCTGCCATCTCAGGCACGAATCTCCGGTAATAGTTAAGCGTCCCGAGAAGCCTCCGGATCCCTTTTACGTCCCGTGGTACCGCCATCCGTGTGATTGCCTCCACCTTTGCTGCATCCGGTCTGACCCCCTCGCTTGAGATAGTGTGGCCTAAAAAATTAATTCGCGTTTGCCCCAGCAGGGACTTCTCGCTCGACAATTTCAGCCCGAATTGCTGCAGCCTTTCGAAAACTGATCTCAGATGCCCCACGTGTTCGGCTTCCGTTTTACTGAAGATCAGCAGGTCGTCCATGTACACTTGGCATACTGAGTCATCAATACCCCTCAAAAACTCGTCCATCAGACGTTGAAACGTTATGGGCGCGTTCTTCAGACCAAACGGCATTCTGGTGAACTCATAATGCCCCCTTTCAAACGTAAACGCCGTTTTGTGTTGATCTTCTGGGTGCATCCGTATTTGGTGATATCCCGCTTTGAGGTCCAATGTGCTAAATACTACTGCCCCACTTAACCTATCGAGTATATCTTCGAATCTGAGGATCGGGTACTTCTCATCCAGTGTATTGTCATTCAATTTCCGATAGTCTATTACTACCCTGTATCTTTCCTTGTTATCCCCCGGAACTGCCTTCTTTTTCACCGCCCACAGGGGACTATTAAATGGTGAGGTACTATCGACGATGATCCCTTGCTCCTTTAGGCTGTCTAATTCCTCCCGAATATGCTGCCTCAGCGCCTGCGGGTATCTCCTTTTCTTCACGTAGGTTACCCTATCTTGCTTCAGTGGGATTTCATGCACCGTCCTCCCCGTTACCCCCAATACCTCGCCTTCCCTGAAGAAAATATCTTTGAACTCCGTTTGTAGCGACTTCCTCCAGTCCTCTACCCTGTTCACCGCTCCTATCCGTACCCTTCTTTCTCTCGCGACCCCTACACATTCAAACTTCCTCTTTCCCAGCCTAATACTCCAGGCTCCCTTATGGTTTCTGATGCTCGCCCCCACCTGCCCTAACAGATCGCACCCTACTATGACTTGGTATTCCCGTGTCATGTTCTCAACCACATGCACCCTTAGCTCACCCTCTTTCCCTGCCCATCGGTCAAGCCTAATTATCGCCTCCCCTTCTACGCTACAGGGCCGCCCAGAGTGATCAGCTGGCAGTCGCATTTCTGTATCCGGAGTACCCTCTCGCTCCCGCACACTTTCCCTAACGCCCCTCTGGTCATGATAGTACTCGAGCTACCCGTGTCCACAAGACACTTTACTCCCCCATCTACTTCAATAATTGGCAACCAGCATGGCTTACCTCGGACACTGTTGCATGTTGCTGTGCGGTCGCCTCTCTGCTGACACACTCCTCAGATGTCGCCCCGCTTCCTCCTTACTGCCGCCGCTCGTCGCTGCTCGCTCCGTTGGCTGCGCCTGCCTCCTTCGCCTCCGCTGCTGCCTGGTTCATCCGTCTCCGTTCCTGAAGTTCCTGACTCCTCGGTTGCCTCCTCCGAAGATCCGTCCCTCTGCTGTACCCTAGCTCGCCTTTTCATTTTCTGCACATTCACCTCCATTGGTTCGTCCTGAGGTCTCTCCCTCCTGCGAAATATGTATGGGCACTGTCTTGCTATGTGCCCTTCGGTCCCGCACTCGAAGCATCTAGTGCGCGGACACTGCGCTACTAAATGTCCCGGCTTCCCACACCCGTGACATTTTCTCTCTTCCCTCCGGGGACCATTCCTCGGCCTCGACGACTGTCCGGATCTTCTTTCCCCCATCATGGCCTTTTCTCCACTCTGTTGCCTTGTGTCCCTCTTCCTCCAACCTGTCGGGGCTGTCCGTGGTCGTCTATCCGTCACTCGGATCCATCCCGGTTCCTCCACGTCCATCCGTGTCTCTTCCTCTCTTGCACTTAGGTCGATCATCTCCTGGGCGCATTCGAGGAACGATCGCTCTCTGG